ACAATGGTTCGCCAAACTCACCCCGGCCTCCATAGGCTCCTTTGTCGAACTGAGCAGATCCTTTGTGACACAATTCATTGGTGGACGCCGCCAGCAGCAGCCTGTCATCCATCTGCTCAGCATAAAACAGGATCGTAATGAGAGTCTAAGGAGTTACCTCACTCGTTTTAACGAGGAAGTCCTCCAAATCGAGGAACCCAATGACAAAGTCGCCATGACTGCCTTCTTGGGAGGCCTCTGCTCATCCAGATTCCTTTTTTAAGTAATAAAGCAACCACCAAAGGGCATGCCAAAACTATTCACANAATTCCTTTTTTCAGTAATAAAGCAACCACCAAAGAGCATGCCAGAACTATTCACAATAGCTCAAAGATATATGAATGCTGAGGAAATCAACAAGTTTAGGCAAGGTGAATCATCCCACAGATCACCAGAAACTTGACCTGCCTCTGCACTATTCTCAAACAGACAGCCTATCTCCAGTTTAGCGGCTCTCTCACGGGTCGNAGCAAGGTGAATCATCTCACAGATCACCAGAAACTTGACCTGCCTTTGCACTGTTCTTAAATAGGCAGTCTATCTCCAGTTTAGCGGCTCTCTTAGGGATCGCCAAAAAACAAAAACTTGGCCTCTGCACTGTTCTCAAACACGCAGCCTATCTCCAGTTTAGCGGCTTTCTCACGGGTCGCCAAAAAACTTGGCCTCTGCACTGTTCTCAAACAGGCAGCCTATCTCCAGTTTAGCGGCTCTCTCACGGGTCGCCAAAAAACTTGGCCTCTGCATTGTTCTCAAACAGGCAGCCTATCTCCAGCTTAGCGGCTCTCTCACGGGTCGCCAAAAAAAATTTGGCCTCTGCACTGTTCTCAAACAAGCAGCCTATCGTCAGTTTAGCGGCTCTCTCACGGGTCGCCAAAAAACTTGGCCTCTGCACTGTTCTCAAACAGGCAGCCTATCTCTAGTTTAGCGACTCTCTTTGAGATCGCCAAAAAAAACTTAGTCTCTGCACTGTTCTCAACACAGGCAACCTATCTCCAGTTTAGTGGCTCTCTCACGGGTCGCCAAAAAACTTGGCCTCTGCACTGTTCTCAAACAGGCAGCCTATCTCCAGTTTAGCGGCTCTCTTTGGGATCGCCCAAAAAAAACTTAGCCTCTACACTGTTCTCAACACAGGCAGTCTATCGCCAGTTTAACGGCTCTCTCACGGATCGCCAAAAAAGCTTGGCCTCTGCACTGTTCTCAAACAGACAGCTTATACCTCAAGCTTAAAGACTCCCTCATGGGTCGCCAAAAGCTAGGTCTCAAAAGGTGTAGCTCTCTCACGAGCAATTCTCCAACTCTGTCTTTGCTCTTGCGTAAATAGCCTACCACTCTCTGTCTTCAGGTAATTATGTGAGATATTTTAATGTTTGGAATAACATTATTTTTGTNGCCAAAAGCTAGGTCTCAAAAAGTGTAGCTCTCTCACGAGCAGTTCTCCAACTCTGTCTTTGCTCTCGCGCAAGCAGCCTACTTCTCTCTCTCTCCAGGTAATTATGTGAGATATTTTAATGTTTGGAATAACATTATTTTTGTCATCACAAGCAGGCTCTCCCGAGGTAGCCCCATGCTCACCCAAGGCGCCCAGCACCTGGAGAAGGGCTTGATCATTAAGAGCAGCACCNTTTTTGTCATCACAAGTAGGTTCTCCCGAGGCAGCCCCAGGCTCACCCAAAGCGCCCAGCACCTGGAGAAGGGCTTGATCATCAAGAGCAGCACCCAAGGGTTCCTTACTACTTGCAATGTCTAGCCCAACGCCTAGAAGTGTGCCTGACTGCTGTTGCTCGTCAAAACAAAGTTGCCCAGTAGCTTGAAGGGTATCTGGCCCTTCAAAATTGCGCAAAGCAGAATTTTCGGCGCAAAAATTAGCACCTAAGGGGCCCAAATCAGCGCCTCGAGTGAGAATCGAATCAGCCCGTGCTCCCAGGCTACTGCCTAGCTCTCCCTGATGAACCTTGGACTGATTTTCAGCGCCCCTTGATGGAAAAATACTGCTGCCCAGCGTTCCAAAGCTGCCCAGCACAGCTGAGCTGTCCGGGACAGCAGAAGCAGCAGCCAGGCTGCTGCCTAGCGTACCTGGGCTGTCCAGGACAGCAAGGCCAGCGCACCTGGGCTGTCTAGGATGGGAGGAGCAGAGCCCAGACAGCCGCCTAGCCCCCCACCGCGCGCGCGAGAGCTGCCCAGCTGCGCGCCTGCGCTGCCTAGTCGCG